CCTGAGAGAAGAAGTAAACAACAAAAAGGTTTAAAGAATTTTTAAACACCATTCTTGGTTGGTAACATTATATAAGAGGAGGGGTTATATTAAATATGGAGTAAATACATATTATTCAACGCTTCAACATGTAATGAGCAGCGCAGATGTTTTGCAAGTTGCATGCAGGGCTGAGATATTTGAGAGAAAATAATAAGAATCCTTTATAACAAACTCAGAGAAAGTGTTTCACCTTTCAGCTTGTTACTTAAAAAAATCAAGCCTGAAATACTAGTGTAACCATTTCCTTGCATCCCTTTCCATATTTCTTTTGCCCTGTTCAACGGGGCCAATACACATGTTTCACTCACCTTTCACTTTTTTTATGTAAAGTTCTGTAGGAAGTAGTTCTAGTTCATCTTCAAGATCAGCAGTAAAGAGTTCAGGGGGAGGCAAAGTACCTGAAGGGAAAGGTAAACAGAGAGATACACTGTATTTAGCATTCAGTGCCTTACCTCGCATAAATGGTTAAAAACAGGCATTTAACAAACACTTCACATTGTACTAGGCTCATGTGAAGAACTGAAAGTATTAGATAACTATCTCACTTAATAATTATAAAGGAAGAGGGATCATCTTTATTAAGGAATAGTTTCCATTGAAAATTTATAATTTGAATAAGGAATGGAAGCATTCATCAGTAGTAATAAAATCAGACAACAGATTATTTTAAATAAGGAATAATTGCCCTTGAAAAGTGATAATTCGAGACTGGGGTGAAAGCCTTTAATAGCATTCTTAGATTTATTTCTCTCTAATAATGAATCAATAAACATTTTATATTCACCTTCCATTCTGAGCCTCTGAAGCTCCATGCTTAGTTCAGTTAGTTTTTTCTCAATATCAAAGGTTGAAAATTGAATGACAGGAAACCCACCTGAGCACAGAGATACACAGAAATATATTTAGTGCTTAGTGCCTCACCTGATATAAAAAGTTAAAGCATAATAACATGTATCAAGGTCAAGTGAAAGAACAATGAAATTAGCTATCTTTAAGCATGTTTTCATTCTAACATGCCACAGCCAATTCAATACTACCTTTGACCGAATTTATGGATTTAGAGGCACACCTGAATTGAAAATATGTTACTAACCAAAACTAAGTTACTGAATAACAGCTGAGAGCATTTAACAGTATTTATGGATAAAAGACAGACAAAGGTTAATATCTCATACAAGGAATAATTTCTTTTAAAAGTATTAATTACTGGAAAAAACATCAAAAAATTTAATGCCATTGAGTTATTTACATGGCTAAAATATTTAATCATCACTGACATTTGAACAAAGATGCTTTAAACCCGAAAAAAGAAAACTGTTGAGAACAACTGAAAAAGTATTCAGTCTGCATGTGTATAATGTTTTATTAATTTCTATTTTAAAAGATGACTAAAACCACATTCAGGTTCTTTTATTCATTTCTTCTTTTTTTTCCTGTAGTTTCTTAGCTTCACTCCTACAACTTTTTTGGCCAATTTATGCATCTATGGATTGTTCTACTTCTTCAATATCATTTATCAAAACAACAAGTCAGTGATTTGCCATGTTGTTTTCCTTTCTTTTTTTTTTTTGGCCCATGTCAGAGGGGACTGAACCCAAACTGGAACCCATGCTAGACTTCAATGAATCTGCCAAAACAACTGAAAGCAGTAACACTAACATCTTCTTATTCGTTTCAAGGTGGTTTGATGCCAGTTGAAAGAGTAAATCAACTAAATCAACTTAAAAGTAAGTTTTCCCTCAAAGAAAACCTCAACCAACATGAAGAACCTTAAATAGTCCATAACTTTCAATAGAATACAACTTTCCACCAGGATTAATAGCTGAACACAATGAGCAACATGTTTTAATTACATTAACTTGAAAAATAAGTTCAAACTGAGCATCCTGTTCACCTTTCCTTCCCCACAGTTCTTCTAGTTCTTTTCCATGACCAGTGGTGGGTATTACAGTGAGGGGTGAAGTACCTAAGGGTAAAAATTCACAGAGAGATTAGCATTCACAAACTCTCTTCAAGCGTTTTTTCCCATATGTGGAACTGTGTACAATTATGTTAATTTATTAATGCCACATTATTGCTGAAATTATTCTTCCAACATTTACTACATAATTGTTATTACTGTTCACAACAAATTTCCATAATAACTTAATTTATACAAGTTTTTAAACCTCCTTTTCACCTTCCAATCTTGCTGTCTCCATAATCTTTTTCTTCCGTTCACTTTTTTCCCATTGCTCATTTTTTTGTGGACTTTCACTGGTTGAACTTGTGGAGTGGAAGTCAGAGGATAGAGCATCTAAAATCAGATTTACAAAAAGACAAACATTTTAAACCAGGAACATACCTCACACTATTTTTAAAAACACTCAAGATGCAAAAACTAATAAAATTTTCTTTCTTAGCCCCTCCAACAAAAGTTTTGCCTGTTAACCTTGGATTAATGTATGTAATCTAATAAATTAAGGGAAGACAAATACAACCCCATAAAGAGGAAAATATCAAGCCACATGTCTTAGTAGGAAAGATAACAGGTTAACAGGTTAAATATTTTATGATAGGACCAGGCCTTGTTACATTCTTTCTATCAACCTCTAAGTGCATCTTTCACAAAGAACATTTTGCATGCATTGTACTCTTCTATGTCCATTGTTGTCTTCAGCCTCAGCTCAGCCACGTTCAGTTCCTTCAAGATCTTTTCAGTGACAAAACAATTCTGAACTACTTCACCAAGATGACCAGATGAGTAATCTGTCCACAACTCCTCCAAGATTATTAGAGATTCACACTTCACTGTTATCACCAAACTTCCTACAGCAACACCAGTAATGATGAGCCTCATTTCTTTTACATACTCCTTAAACCTATTGTGCTCTTCACTGGAACGTGGTGGTGTGGTCTGGAGATAATTTCTAACAATTGATATGAAGAGTTCCTCTTTAAGGGCCTGAAGATCTTCTGTCTGTGGATAAGACACACTTCCAGATGCAGCTGATGTTGCAGATGCCCCAGGCTGCTGAACCTCTTGCTGTCTGACAGACTCTGTTGCCAACATGCCAGTCTGCATATTCTGTTCTTCAGGTTTCAAGTCATCCACATCAACCTTAATATTCATTTCACCACCTGTTAAATTGTAACAGTCAAATTTAATCTTAATATAACAAGGTTTTTTCACCTCCTACCCTATTAACCACTGAAATGTGAGAACATTACAATGAGGCGACACCAATCAAACATAGAGCTTATTACCAATGAATAGATACCAACAACATAATTATTGATGAAATGAAAATGATTACCACATACAGTATATATATTGCTTCAGTTTCGGTTTCTTTTACATCTTTATCTCATTCCATGGTAGAATCAAAATTATCAATGATCTAAAAGACTACAGTTTCAAACATGGAAATATCTAAACAGACTTAGCTAAGAAGAAACACAGGCATGCCCAGCATGCAAGAGCTATTTTTCTTGCTGGGTGGGTTGAGATGGGACACTTTGCCTACTAATGTTTTCATTTTTGTAACACAAGAAGAGCATAACTTTCAAATGAACAAAAATACTGCATTACTTCCCACCTTGAGAGAAAGAAAACAAAACCCTAATTTAACTGTACTCACACACAGTCAGGTATTTTATGGTCTATTTTCTCTATTGTCTAAATACTTCTAAGCAAAAATAAAAGGCAATGGTGCCATGCTTACTGTTGTCTCCTTTGCAGTTGATGTTTGGTCTCATCACACAACACCCTCTATTCTCCATTAGAGAAAAAGCATGTTGCATGACAAGACCAAATAAAAGTTGCAAAAGAGACCATGGTTACTGTCATTCTTCTAACAGAGAGAAAATCAAAGTTATTCATCTACAATAGTTAGTTGTTCCAAAAATAGAATTCCACCTAATTTTACTAAAAAAAGAAAATTGAAACTCTGTTGTATCTCCAATAAAACCTAACCAAAGATATATTGCAATCTCAAATAACTGGAAAAATAATGACCAAGAGAAAAGGATAATATTTCAAAGAGGGCTCCTTGATTGGTTGTTGCCTATCTGGATTTTGCCCTCTGGTGTGAATAAATAATAAAAAGCAGGTTGTTTACAATGAATTGACATACAATGGAGTTAAGCTCAAGGTAGCTAAAACCGAGTTTCATTCAAAGAAAAATTTAAAACACAGGAGAATTGCATGGAAAGTTCACCATCAGTTGCATTTAGTTCCAAGTAAATTTTTTTCAGTGAGGTTGGACCATGCGGTTGGAATATGTGATACACTGAAGGCTGTTTACAAGGAAATGACATGTGATAGAGTTAAAAATTATACTTTAAATCCACTTGAACCATTAATATAACATTAAACTTCAAACATATTGGATGATACTCTGCTTGCAGGTCCTCATTAATAGAGGGCTTCTACACGAGTGTTCCTTTGCCCAAAACCTAAAATTGCACAGCAGTCTTCCGATTGAATGCAATGTAGTACCCAGTACACAAATGGTTATTACTGTTCACAACAATGGCTATTACCACCAACTTGTAGCCTTGCATTACCAGTTTCCTTAAATGTAAATTTTTCACATTCCATAAGACTACTGTCACTACTGTCCCTATAGCATTTAGAAACAACTGCTAACCTGTACAATGAAAATTTAATGCAGAACATGTGAGCTTTGTCATCATTTCAAATTTGATTAAAGCTTCTGCATCCCTGATGCAAGATAAGAAAACTTACCAAATGCAAGATTGTACATCTTTTTAACTAGGAAATCACAAGGCTTCTCCCAGCTGAACTGCTGCATATAGTTTTCACGAAGAATCTCTGCCTCTGCAAGTCGTACATTCCTTTTTTTGTCACACACAGCCTTTATTGCTCTGGCCCAGTCTACAGGATCCTCTGAATCCACTATACACTGTGACCCATTAGGCACCTCCCTTAATGCTTCTGCAATACCTGAGTTACCACTGACAAGTACTGGAAGACCAGCAGATATGGCTTCAAGAGCGCTTAACCCGAACCCTTCAGTTTTTGAGGGCAAAATGGCAATATCCACTGCAGAGAATAAGTTGGCTAATGTTTTCCTGTTTTCATCAAAGCTGCAGATAATTAGTTGATTACGATCAATACCACACTGAAGTAACTTTTCTGCTAATTCATCTTCCTTTCCTCTCTGTTTGGAAGCAAACTTGAGTTGGTAAGATTTATCCTTAAGGTTAGCAATAGCTTTTGCTACAATGTCATATCCTTTAACATCAAAATCTTCACTATTACCACTCTCAATTACCAAGACACAAAACGTTCTTCTTTCATCGCTTGCTTGCTGCACATCTGAAAATTCAGGGAATATGCTTGGCGTCAGATTAAAAACATCCTGTTGTCCGAGTTGGTGCTTATATGCATCAGTTAGTTTGGGGCCAATTGTTACGACTTGATCAGCCATTTCACATAGTTCTATTTCTGTTTTCTGCATTTGTTGACCTTCAGAAATGCTTTTGTAAATGCCTATTTCTTCAGGGGCAGTATGGACAACTTGAATCCATTTGCAATGATTGTAATTTGGATTTTTCTTTATGAGTGGAATTAGCCGACCAAGAGCTACTCCATGCCCTAGAATACAATCTATAGCATGGCCATCAGGTACAGAGGCTAGCCAAAGAACTGGTTCAAAACCAGACAGTTTAACAGCTTCAATGAGTTTAACATTGTAACTATCAGCATCTTTCTTGTCCTCTTCACTACACTGAGGTAAGAAGACACTGACTTCCACATTGGGATGTTTAGCCATCTGTATTGCTAGTTCTCTGTTGATGATTGTCCAGTCTCCATTGCTTGAAGCTTTCCATTCAGCACTCAAAAGGGTTACCCTCAGTTTCCTTTGCCCAGTGTCATTCTGTAAACACAAAATTTTTGTGATTTAGGAGATTCAATTAGAGTTATTGAAATAAGAGAGAAAACACATTTCATGAATTAATTTACTTTTGAAAGATACTTCTTAATTTTGAATTCACTTAGTAACTTCACAAAGTCAATAAACTTATAAGCAAAAGTTGTACAAAATTTCCATGAAACAGTAAAGAACAGTTGTTGCGGATATCAGGGTTAGTGTAATACAACTGTAATCTCATACTCTAAGAAGTGACCTGCACCTGTAACATTTTGATATCATGCAAAAAAATGTTATACACAAATTTTTCCTCTTCAGATATTCAGAGTCTGGTTTTGCATGACATGGCAAACTTTAAATCATCCAATTCTAACCAACTTGTATGATCATTTGTTATCTAAAAAGATGTGAAACATGAGACC